ACACGCGACATACCCCGTTACAAGGGGTATGTAACAGGTGCGCGCCTGGCGCGACAAGCCCTCCAATTCTAAGTCTTTTATAGCTGCGCGACAAGGCGCGACAAGGGTATGTAACAAGCCCCGCGTTTCAAGGGTGTGTAACAGAGGCTTGTCCGCGCGGGCCATCGGGCAAGGGGTTTCGACTCACTGCCAAATGACTAAAAAGAGGGCCAGTCAAGTCGAGGAATACTGTCGCAGGGCATCTTGACTCCTGCAATGCTGGTATGAGGCCTGCTTTGCTGAGTCCATCCAACTCCTGTTTTTCACGTGTTGAATCCAGGAATCTGAAGCCTTTATAGGAGTAGAGAGGGCGGTTGAAATTGAACTGAGCTACAGCTGGAGGATTACAGTGCTAAGTTTGCTCGTCCTAGATCTTATAGAGCGAAGCCCAACTTGAACCTACATATCTGAAAGCCCTTGAGAAGAGTCCGCGCCCGCCTTCAAAACATCCAATCTGCGCAAACCGCAAAGGTTTTGTACTTCCGTCAGCGCACTGCACAGTCAGTGCACGCAAGCCTGCACAGCTCTCTACACAACTGTTCGTTGCGAGTATCACGATCCTCATGCATAATACTGCAGACAGTTTTCTAGAGATAGGGGTTCCAGGGTCTCCACGAGGGCCAAATGCAATTGCAGTATTCTTTCTTTTCTATTCCTTCCCCCTTCGGTTCCACTTCAAGGATAGATGGCAGTGCCTTGGGCCTTGGTGCCCTCCTGCAGCGCGTAGACTTTGATGCTGGGCCCGCGCGGCGTGCAGCCGCACTCTTGCGGGCGTGACTGGACGATAATTTGGCTGACCTGGGAACTGAGCAGGTGTTCAGAGGTAACGTGTGTCTAGATGAGGGCTTTGTGGGATTGCAAGTTGCAGTTTCAAGCGTATTGTTCCAGATGATGTAGTGCAGGGTGTAAACTAAGCTGGAGCCATGCCTTTGCACCGGACAGCGCTTGGCTATTCAGATTGTGGATCTCCTTAGGGGGTCCTTCAATGCGGAGTATACAGGCTTGAGGTGGATCCTAGCCTGTAGATTGCACCGCTGCATAGGATGATCAGAGAGTAGGAACTTAAATTGCATTACCATAATGGGTATATATATATATATAGTGAATAATAGGGTTTCCCAATATAGTAACATAGTAGTATGAATTTGATCAGAGAGTCAGAGTTATTTGACAAGTTTACTCTCACCTCTGGATACCACAAGGCCAATTTCACGTACGCGGATACACCCTCACCTCACCTCCATGCGTCATGTACTACAGAAGACCACAGAGAGAGCGTCGTGATCGTCACCTAGGGTGGAGGCTGCCCCGGAACTGAAAGCGCAGGGTGCGGCTCGGCAGCAGCCAGTTCCCAACAGGATCATTGGTGTAGATCACAGGGGCAGGCAGCACATGTATGTTTGCAGGAATGGGCCCAGCTTCAGATAGTGGTAGTCTGGCACATGAAGAAGCTTTCCGCCACCACATGGCACGATGTTGATAAGTTGTGACCGTTATGCGCTGGACATCTTTTCGAGGACCGTCTGCTGAAGCGCGGAGAGCCCAAAGAGGCCCGCGAACGCTATGCAGCAGCGCAGCCCGGACGTTTTCCAGACTCATGTGTTTGTTTCATGTGGCCTTTTCCGGCCGTGAGATTACATATAGGCCATGAACAGTTATGATGCAATGGGTGTTCTTTTGCACTGCTGCTGCGTGTTGTCCTGGGGCTTGGACAAGAGCTCACATCAAGGAGGGTTCTTTGATGTCACAAGCGAGAATAACAGAGCTACTGAAAGGTATAGCAATAGCCGCGCAAGAATGTCAAAAGCCGATACATCTGCATCCCTGAGCCCGGCCTGAAGCCTCCTTGTTCTTTTAGCACCTGAGAAGACCTTTGTAAAGATAGGTGCTGAACATAGCGCAGTAGAGCAATGAATTACAACTGCTGTAATGCCACATTCTCCCATCTCCGAAGCCCGGAGAGGGAAGGCATGTGGGCGCCTCCTGGGATGCGGATTTGCGAGCGGAGCTGCACATCAAGTAGCTGGGCCAATTTCCTGATGGGGGAGAGATTGGGACAACGGTTGCTTAAGTGGTGGTGGGAATGTTAGGATCCCTGCAAACGAACTTTGGAAATGCAATTTCAGCAGATGAATTTGTACTGGAGGCGCTTTGAAGATTTTTCGGGGCACAGTTGGTTTTAAAATGCCATCAATCAAGCAACGGATGAAAGCCTGGCACAACAGCACAAGACGAGACCAACAACAGCTAGGGCTGCGATAGGCGGCAATGGATGCTGTGCAGTGAAGAACCTCGAAAAGTCTAGAAAGCACAACAGCTGAGAGCAGAATTACGGTACAGCCCGAGGACTGCAGAAGCCCTGCGGATGGAGGGCCAGCTGGAAGAGGCTTTGAAAGAAGTCTGCGAGGCCCTCCCATGGCTTTCGGGTTAAAAGTGTGGTGGCAGGATATGGCCCAGAGCCTTGAAGGCTTGAAAAGGAGTATTGAACAGTACCCTGAACCTTGTGCCCTAGATATCCATAGATCTGACCCCTATCTGCTGCGAGGCTTGCTCTTTCATGGACAGGGAGAAGTCTGCTCCAGCCTTGTCTCTCGCCTTGAAAAGGCTTGAGGCTTTGCAAGGGCTCTGGAGCTTTGAGTTCAGAAGCGCGCAAGGTTTGGGATTCGACAGTTGAGGACCTTGAGTGTTTAGGCAGTTGAAGGCTGCAGGTTGAGAAACGCGATCGCTGACCAAGCCCCTTACCCGAAGCCGTTTCTGTCCCCCTACATAGACCTTCAACCTTGCCTGCAGCCAAGGCTGTTGCGCGGTATTCTTCGCTTTGATTCAGGGAAATGGCGCGAGAGCTTCTCGGAGCTTGTAAGGTCTGGGGTCAAGGCTAGAACAAGGCAAAGACAGGCACCGGGGCTACGATAGGCTTCGTAAAGCTCATGTCATGGGTTGTAAGCACTGTGGAAGGGCCGGCGGTATTTCTGCTGTCCTCGTCTGGGAGGAGGTCATCAGCAGCTATGACAGATGTTGGCCCAAACTTTCAGGATGTTTAGCTTTCCATTCTGTGCAGGCCTGGCTCTCGCAAGTATGTGCAAATCATGCAAGGAAGCTGATTCCAATGACTGCAGCTAGCTTGAAAAGAATATCATTGCAGTGCTCATGTTGGTCCGTCAGCTTCTCAAAAACCATCATTGAAATCAAAAAAGCTTCATGTCAGGTAGGAAAGAAGGAAGCCAAGTAATCAACAGTTTTGATGCCTTGCAAAGCCTGCGGATATTTATGCCTAGAACCTCAGAACGCAGACTCACGTCCAATTATCACAAGGAGACTAGCAATGTTGAAGTTGAGAGGGGTCTTTGCCAGAGGTCAGTTGCTGCGGGTAGCGTGCTCTTGTTGCACACCTTCGCTGGGAAGACAAAGACCATTCAGAGAGATCCGAACTGGACCACCTGTAGTACCCAGGCTTGGAAGACATCGAAAAAGCCCAGGATCTTGCAGCCAGAGCCCAGCAAAGCCTGCAGGAGCGAAATCACGGAGAGAAGCTGCATGTGGTGTCAGAGCCCATGGGGGCCACCCTGAGTTTGAGAGATGCCCATGTCAAGAGATAGTGAGTGCTATTGGGAATGAATGCAGTCAATATACATAGGCACCGCGCATCAGTAGGCTTCATTTAAGCTGGGACATGTGAGCGTCGTTGTCGTTTTCGATGTTGTGCTGGTTGCCATGAGCCTCTTCGGATGACCATGTACTCATTTACATGTTTGGTGCTTGCTTTGAAGTTTCAATTTAGAACATAATTTATCTGCTACGCGAGACCGCCTCGGCGAAGGCTGTCGAAGGGCATATGAGGAGCAGCCGACTAAACCCCCGGTTCCCGCCCGCCCCCGCCCCCAGCTACCCCCAAGGCCCCTTCCGATTGGACCCCCGCCCCCGGAATCGAATCGTGCGCACTGGGACGGGGTAGGGGGTGGGCTAACTTACTCTTCCAACGGCCCTGGATCTAGACGCCCCAGGCCTCCGGCCTCGGCGGATCTGCTCTTGGGTTGAGCAAGCAGCCTCGGCAGGACCTGGCCATGTGGCTGCGACGCGCTCGCGAAGCTGTTCGCCGTAATGACTCAAGGTAACTCGTCCAGAAGTGTATGTGCCAGGTATGGAGTCCTAAAGTATTTGGTAAGGTCCAGATCTTTGCACTGCACCCAACAAGAAGAAATTGGATTAGTTCATTTTTATCTGCTGCAAGCCAAGCTTCAGGAGGCAATGCCAACTCTCAACCACTAGACAGCATGGCAACCCACAGCATTCGTTGAGCGCTTGCTTGCTTGGATTGGAGGCCATTCAACGTAAAATTGGCTGTCCAACTCGGACATTCCAGCATTCAAGCCTTCAGGAGCTTCTATGCCATCCTGGGTCTGCGGTGCGATTGCGATGCTGCAGATGTGAGCCTGGGCGCGGTGCAGTTCCCTCCAGGGCGTGGTGAAATGGCGGGTGGTGGCCGAGTTAGCTTTTGAAAGAGCACAGGGGGTTGAGATTGACGCCTAAGCATTGCAGTGTTTACCCATGAGCTTTAAATCCAAGGAGAAAAAGCTTCCACAAGCTTGCGCTGCAGTGCCACCCTGACAAGGCAGGGTGGTTTATTCCATGGCCATGATGGAACACAAGAGGATGTCAGGGAGAATCGGCCCGTGATGAGATGAAGCGGGCCTTGTCTGTGTTTCTTATTTGGTGGCGCAAGGGCTGGAAGAGTTGCACGAGCTCGATCAACTGGGAATCAGATGCAAGCTAAGCATCGTCATCGCACTTGTCGTCGACCGAGTTGGTTTCCAAGTGCCTCTCACAGGCACGTAATGATCTTAAGGCCCTGAACTGCTGTATTCTTCTCCCCTTGAGGTAGGGCTATTGACCTCAGATTGCAGTGCAGAGCCTGCATGCTGCTGTTGAGACATGTGCAGGTTCATTCGACCTCGGAGGCGGGGCTGGGCTGCTTGAGATTTGCGGCATACTCGCAAGCTTACTTGGTAAAATCCGCCAGGGAGGTACAGCGGTGAAGTGAATGCTCCGTTTGCGTCTGAAGCATTTCTCTCTAGCCTAAGGTCCTGAAGAAATCGGCTGAGGCGCGATTCAAAGCAATCCAAGAAGCTTATGAGGTCCTAAGCGACCCAAAGCGAAGGCGGGAATACGACTATGGCAAGAGCTGATCGGTTGCAAAAGAATGCCACCTCGTGGGTTTGCTGAGGTAGCCCGGGCTTCAGGATTTTTGTTCGAGTTGAGTGTCTTGTCCTAGGAATGCAACTTGGATGAAGTGAAGAGTTTGACTCTGCAACAAGTTTCGAAAAGAAGTTTGCTTCTTGACTGCCGACCTCGCCCAAAAGGTGTGTTACGCTTGGTGCCTCTTCCATCCAATAACACACGTCTTCGCTTAGTCATCATTTCATGAGGAGACATATCCTTCGAATACCGCCAGCTGTCACAAGCACAGGTTGTTTGGATATGACTGGCCGCAGCTACACTTGTCTTTCGGGAGGCACTAATTGGAACGTGATATAATGCCCTATAGAGAAGCTACTGTAGCCGCATCATGACAGCTGGTGTGCCAACTCTTGACCCAAAGCACAGGAGAAGGAGGAATACCTGGCCGCTATTCTGAACTGCGTCGACTCCTTCTTCAACGGGCTTTGAGCTCAGGTACAGCGCGCCAAAAAGTTGAGCACTTTGATTACCTTAGTCTGATGCCTGCACGGGCTTCAAGAAGCCAGAGTATGACGACAAGAGCGAGAAGAGCAGAGGTTTCCCCAAGCCATCCTCTCATGGCATGAATGTACCCCAAACCCTCTCAGCAACATCTGTGTGAATCATGAGGCCCTTCCAGGCCTGCATCAGCAGGGATGAGTCATCAGGCGCCCTCCCTTCACACCGGTTCGCAAGCAGAGGTGTGTAGCTTTTGCTCGGCTTGCGATTGCAGAAGTGTGTGTTACTACGGCGTGGGTTTGAAGTTTAGCGACGCGAGTCTGCCACATTCGGTACTGATCATGTGCATCAGGCAGGTCGAGCAAAGGGCGTTGAGTTTGTTATGGTCGCCACACACACAGCATGAAACCTACGTGCTCCTATCCACTGCGTTTTGCAGAGCCTAAATTAAAGTCTGCAGCTACTTTTCGGAGTTCATCAGCATTATGCGAGTCCCAATTGGAGGTGCCCGGGGAAACTCAGCTTTGAAGAACCCTTGCACGTTCCCGAGAAAAAGACCTGCATACTTGTAGTTCTCAGAAAGCCGTTGCCCGTTTTACCTATAGCTCCCGCAGGTGAGCAGCTGCAGATCCTGGGCAGGAAATACCTGAAGCGTGTCTCGCCAAACTTTTCGGCCTCAGGGTGGGTCTAGGGTTTTGGACTGAGATCTTCTGTTGTGGTAGACATTCCGGGCGACGGAAGATATCATAAAAGGTCCGCCTTACAGCTTCCCAAAGAGTTGACCAGGAATTGGCCCAGGGCTCCTGAGTGTATCAGGCTGAGGTCGTGCTTAAGCTCATTGATACTGCAGGGCTCCGTCGGACAACATCGAGTCGGTTCATGTTCAGATGAAGTTCACTCCCTGCTGCCCACTGAAAGAACCTTCCGAGAACTGGAAGCGTGGGACTTTCTCAAGAAGAGGTGGGTTTTTTGCCGTCAACATGATGCGCGCCCTGGCTTTTGAGAAATGCCAAATGTAAGTGAAGCCAAGGTTTCAAGGTCTTGGAGCGGAGCGCGGCGTCCAGCCCCCAGGGCGTGCGCTTCCATTACAACCAAGACTTAGCTGATGGCAGCTTCCTTTCATATCAACAAAATTCAAGATTACCGTGAATCTTCTTGGTTAGGCTTCACCTTTCAATTTACCTGCTTGTGGGCGAGTGAGAGCAAGTCCGCCAGGCAGGCGCGGAGCCCGACGGACTATGCTTGCAGCAGACTCCCTCATCCCTATAGGCTTTGCCACAGCCCGTGGACAAAACTGAGCCCCTTAGAAATTCTGGCGTCCACAGTCTTGGGGCCCGACACGAGAAACGATACTGGCCTCAGCTGTAGTCGATGTAGATCCTGCACTTAGCCTAAGACCAAAGGCAGGACGTCTCGGCTTAGTTGTTTGCGTTGATCAACTTCGGATTTTGCACATGGCCTGATTACCTGTATGTTTCTGGGAGCCCTCGGGCTGAGGTTCCGTGCAAAGCTGCCTCACTGCAGCCTTGAGCTTCTTTCCATCGCGGCCTATCGAGCTTCGGTCTGATATTTATGAAGTCTTCAGTCGCTGAGTCAGATATCTCGAGGATGCAGATAGTGCATGGGGCAGTGGGGAACACTTAGAGGGGGAGCCTACCAGAGTTTGCAAATATTCGATGCGGTGTGGAAAGCATAGCCTTCAGAGGGTCATGTCAAGGCTGTCAGGCTCAATACCCGTAGCGGCAGTCGAGTAGGGTACGGCCCTAGCATACTGTAGAACAACTTATGGGTACGCATCCAGACCGCGCACAGCCGGAGTTTTCAAGTGCGCGTCAACAAAAGACTTATGGGAACAGAAATTCTGTTCAGGGCTGATACGTGCTGGAGATCAGCTTGAGACAGTTTCACGGAACCACCATTCGCCTAAAGTGCAGTGGTAACATCTGTGCCTATGACGAGAACTCTGCCAGAGAGCTGTACTGACTACCTGCAATGTACAAAGCAACGCTGATTGGCCCAGGAATCATGACGGCCGTTGATGGCAAGGCAAGGAGATTACAAGCCTAGCTTCCCGCAAGCGCCCTTCTTCATCTGGCTGTTATTTAGATGCCCACAAGCTCAGAATGGAAAGAGATGGAACAGCTAGCACGAGGAACGCTTTGCAGAATTGAGCTTAAGCCAGCTTTGAAGTTCTAGCAAAGTCCAAGCTGTTCCTGCGCCAGGCTGATTCCTCCACGCTCCAGGAGGTGAACAGTGAGAACCGTAAGGACACAAAGGCCGGCCCCTCTGGTGCGTCAGCTTGGCAAGAACAAGAAAAGTGTTGATGACAAGAACAGAGCGCATGCGTCTAGACCTAGGAGGGTACGTACATTCCCTCCCGCCAATAGAGGTATGGGGGGAGCTAGGCAGGTTCCGATATTTTCAGAACAGGTTTGGGGGCTGGTTTTGGGGAGGGTGGTTGCGGATGCAGAATTACAAGTCCAGGCAAACATCCTTTGCTGGAGTCGCTTTGCAGCATGTTTGCACAAGTATTGCGTTAGAAAGGGTAGTCCACTACCCGCCATGACCAGGGAACTCCAAGCAATGCGCACCTGACCCCGGCAGGGGAAATGTAAACAGCGTCATGCATGGTGAAAAGGATATGAACGGACATAATGAACGAAATGCCTCTACTCAGTCCTGTAGTCTTGATACATGGAACCGTGAGCCCCAAAATCCTCAAACCAAGGAGCTTTCCCCGAACTTTGCAACCTAAAACAGATTGAGCAGAGGCGCAAGAGGTCAACTCTCCTGATCAGGCGCGCACAAATTTCTGCCGCATGGTCTAGGGATGCTTGGTACTTGGACTCAGGAGTATCCCTTGTGTACCATTCAAGGTATGGGCTTTAATCAGGAGGCTCAAAAGGTAGCGTGAACCTGGGTGACATTTGGCCCATGGGAGTACG